AGTGGTCCCTGTGGCTGAACATAATATACCGCCTGGAATGGACTATATCCAGTACATCGGTTCATAACACGATAATGAGCAAACTCAGCTTGACAAAGCTTCAGATCCCAGGTCTTCACATGATCACCCACTAAACACCGCAAAATATTACTAAGGGATCGATTGACAACTTCTGTTTGGCCATTCGTTTGAGGATGATATGCACTACTAAAATTAAGCTGAATGTTCACCATTTTCCATAAGTTGCACCAAAAGTGACTCAAAAACGTAGTGTCTTGATCTGAAGCAATAGAAGATGACAATCCATGCAAACGGTAGACATCTCGAAAGAATAAATGAGCCACATTAACTACATCCGTCGTCTTTTTTCAAGGAATAAAGTGCAACATCTTAGAAAAATGATCAACAACCACAAATATTGAATCATTGCCCCGTTGAGTACATGGTAAACCAAACATAAAATCCATGCTGATGTCTACCCAAGGTTGTGATGGAACAGGCAAAGGCATATAGAGTCTTGCATTGGTAGATGTGTCCATTGACACCTAACAGATTCGACACCTTTTAACATATTTATCCACCTCCTTGCGCATTGTAGGCCAAAAATAAGATGATTGTACCAACTGTAAAGTGCGATCTCGACCGACATGCCCTTCACCATGCAACTCCCTGATGATTTGAAGGCGGAGACTAGAATCAGGGATGCACAGTTGATTTCCTTTGAAAAGGAAACCTTCATGCAGTAGAAAATCAGACATTTGTCCAATATACCCTGTAGAACAAAAAAAGGATCAACCGTTAGCTGCTCCACGAGGACATCCATCCCCGACACACCAACCCTCATGGAAACTAGAAAATTACTCATCCGAATCAATGCATCAGCCACCCGATTCCACATTCCATACTTATGTTTCACCACAAAAGTGAATTTTTCCGAGAACGACATCCACCTCCCATGTTTGTGTGACACCTTATCTTGACTACGAATATGTCTTATTGAATCATGATCTGTGAACAAAACAAATTCCTTAAGTAATAGATAATGGCACCAATGCTTTACAGCTTGGACCACTGCATAGAACGCAACATCATAAGTGCTATAACGCAGCTTTGGCTCCGTTAACTTCTCACTAAAATAGGCAATCGGTCATCCTACTTGACTTAGAACTGCTCCAATCCCATCCTTGGAAGCATCTGTGTGTAAATCAAAAACTTGAGAAAAGTCTGGCAATACAAGAATCGATGATGTAGTGAGCTTCTCTTTTACTAATTGGAAAGCTGATTCTACTGCCTTGGTCTAAGTAAAGGTAAACCCTTTCATACAATCAATCATCGGTGCCATAATAGAACTAAATTTTAGAATAAACCTCCTATAGAATGAAGCAAGACCATAAAGGCTTCACACTTCAGTGATGGTAGTCGGATTTGGCCATTGTCTGACAGCTGCTACTTTAGACTCATCCACCTGTCTTCCTTCCCCAGAAACAACGTAACCCAAGAACAAGACTTTAGGAACCATAAACACACATTTCTTCATATCTACATACAAACTATCTCATCGAAGTATAGTCAAAACCTGCCTCACATGGTTGACATGCTCACCAAAAGTTGCACTGTAAATAAGTATGTCATCAAAATAAACGACTACAAATTTACCAATGAAGGGCTTGAACAACTGGTTCATCACACGCATAAATGTATTAGGAGTGTTTGATAAACCGAAAGGCATCACCAACCACTCATACAATCCTTCACGAGTCTTGAAGGTAGTCTTCCACCCATCCCTAGTCCAAAGTCGAATATGATAGTACCTGCTCTTCAAGTCCAGTTTCGTAAAGATAGAGGCACCAATAATCTGGTCAAGTAGGTCATCAAGTCGAGGAAATGGAAATTTGTACCTCACTGTGATCTTATAGATGGCATGACTATCAACATACATACGCCAAGTACCATCCTTTTTTGAAGTCAACAAAGCAGGAACAACACACGGGCTTATTCTCTTTCGAACATGACCTTTTGAAATCAAGTCCTCCACCTGTCGTCGCAACTCCTCATGCTCTCCGGGACTCATTCTGTAATGTGGCCTATTAGGAAACTGAGCTCGTGGTTGTAAATCAATATGATCCTGGATGTCACGTAAAGGTGGGAAGCCATCAGGTAATTCATTAGGGAAAACATTAGCGAATTCCTTGAGCAGAGGAACCATAGCCTTAGGAATTTCAACCTCCTTGGCGACTTCCTTCCCTAGCAATACAAAAATTTCACCTTCCACCTCCAACTCGTCTTCAAACTGAGTAAGGGCTAGTAGAGTTCCCGAAGGTTTCAGAACTGGTTCCTTTGGCTTATTGGGAACCAATGTTATCTTCACACCACCAAAAAAGAAAATGTAAGTATTAGTCTGTCCGTTATGATCTATGTTACGATCATACTCCCAAGGTCCGCCCAACAACAAATGACAAGCATTCGTATCAACCACATCACACCACACATCATCATTATACATGGTACCAATAGAAAATTGAACAAGGGCTCATTTAGATACACTGACCTCACCACCCTTCTTAACCCATTATAGCTTGTAAGGCTTAGGGCGATTTTTTGTTTTCAAAGCCAACTTTTGAACTTTTTCTTTATATATAAGGTTGTCACAACTCCTGAGTCATAACAAAAGTACAAACCTTTCCCAAAATAGTACATGTTGATTGAAAGATGTTGTGTTTGAGACAATCATCACCAACAACTTTTGGTGTAAAACAAGACCGCCTTACCACCAGATTTACCCCCACATCTCCAATTACAACTTCCTCTCCGAACTGAAGCTCTTCGTCATATACTGGGGGATCTTTGTAATATTCACCAACATCATCATTTTTCCAATCATCTTACTCAACAAACAAATGACGTTTCCCGAACTTCTTGCACTTTGATTGTTGGTGACCTGTCTCCCTATAACTAAAACACTTCAAGTTGTTACTACCAGTTGTCCTAGGATTTGGTCCAACACTGTTAGATGTCGGTCTTTGTTGATTAGGCACAACAAGGGGTACCATACCACCCGTCCTAGAAGTTCCACCAATATTGGCAATTGAAGACGAACCGCCCACCCGATGGCTTTGTTTCTTATAAGCCAATGCCCATTAGTGCGCTTCAGAAACAGATACCGGGTCAAACATATTTATAGAGTCCATGATTTGGACCCGTAGACCCCCAATATATTGAGCAACGAGTTGTTTCCCTATCTCTTGGATATCGTTTCGGGCAATCAATTGGTTGAACTCAGTTATGTAGTAGTCAACTGATTTGGCACCCTGATTTAGATATTGCAAGTGTTGGTACATCAACCTTTGAAAATTATGGGGTAGGAAGTTGGATCGTAAACACTTCTTCCTCTTCCTCCAAGTCACGACCTTTGACTTTCTGAGCCTGTCTCATGTTAGTTTCAGTTGTTACCACCATGCAAATTCCCTACCACGTAGCCTGGTAGCGATCAGTGACACTCTTTTGTTTTCAGAGACTTCTTTGAACTGAAAAACTTCCTCAACAGTAGCCAACTAGTCGATGAACCCCTCTGGATTCAAAATGACCCCATCGAATTCTGGCATATCAATTCTCATTCTGGCCTCCCAACGCCTATTGTCATCTCTATGACCACACCTTAGCTGCCTTTCCAGATTGTCTTCGGTATATGAACCGTCACTGCCGCCGAACCGGTTCCCAAACTCACCATCTTCCACTTGCGAATGAGTTCGAGACCTTTTCTCTCCTCGATTCATTAGTTTGACCATCCTGTCAGTCAGTTGGTCAACCATTTCATCCATCCCCTCCTTTATTCGTGCCATAATACGTTTTTCTACTTCTTGCTCATGAACATTGGTGGGTGTCTTGTTTCTCCTCGGAGGCATTTTGAACCAGGAATTTGGCTCTGATACCAACACACTACTAGAAAAACAGCCTTTTACGACGCGCAAACCACGACACTCATTGATTTATGTTACGCAAAAGAGAGTAACGTTAAAAAAGTGTCATCTCTTCAAAATATTTATGGATTTACGTCACGCATTATTGTGTGCCCTTAAATTAGTGTCTCATGTAAAAATATAAAAAACACGGAGGGCACTTGTGCGTCCTCTGTGAATGTCACTTTATATATATATATTTTTTTTAAGAAACGTGCGTCTCCGAGGGAAAATGAAATCCGAAATTTTTTAAACCCCCAACTTTTTCTTCCTCATCTCCACCCCGCACCCACATCCACTGCCTCCAATCGTCTTTGCCTCTTCTAGCCTCAAACTGCAGCGATGCATGTTCTTTCTCGAAGAATGCTTTATTTACCACCATCGTCCGATTATGTGAGCCCAAGGAATTGATGGAGACAAAGAAGATTATGGATCAGTCGCTTCACATCATGTTTAAGGTTAAGGGTTTGAGATTTCTTCCAAATCGAGCCTCACACTAACTGGTTTGATCTCCTCTTTTTTTTACCTTGTTCCCTACCACCATCGATGTTGATCTTTGAATTAGCAACAAGAAGTCCTAGGGCCTCCGCCTTCACCCACCTCCAACGCCTCCTACATTTATTAATTCAATCTCATGCCTCTCTCTACTCCTCTCTTTCTCTCTATCTCCCTCTAACCTAAAAGTATCAAAATGGGAAAAAGCTCCTTCATCTTATCCTTAAACTCATCCCCCTCAGCCAACTAATTTGTATATAACCACAATCACCTCATCAATTGCATCCTGAATCTTCTTATCAACCGGAGTCAATTTCTCACCAATTTTCTCATCTTTTGCTGTGTTCCTCATGTTATACGTATAATTCACTAAAGCATTCTTCACCTCCAACTTCTTCTTGGGCTCCTCATCTCTAGACTCATACTTCCCAGCTTCCTGAACCATCTTCTCAATCTTATCCTTTGACGGTCTTCCCTTGTCATTAGTAATTGTAATATTGTTGTTTTGCCCTATACCTTGCAATATTATCTTTCCAGAAGACCCTTCACATGCTTTCCCAAATCGAAACGATACCAGATGTATGTTTGGAAACGAAAAGTCGCCGCCGTCCCCCTTCCATCGGTACTACCTCATTTTTTCATCTTGCGCTGTGTTCCTCATGATTGATTAGTTTTTGTTAGAAAATGTCATTTGGTTTCCTTTCCTGTATTTATTTCTCAATTTTTTTTTGGATCTGTGAGAATTGAAAGGCCATGTATTCTGATCAACATAATGTGCACATTATGTGTTTGTTAAAATCTCTAAACCAAATTTTAAGCTTTAGTAGACCACTTAGCGTATCGCATCAGCCATGATACATTTTAAGGTTTAGTGCACATTATATGTTGTGGCATTTATAAATTTTTATAAACTTTTACAATTGTAGTTATACATTGAAGAATTTGACAAATTTCAGCTTCTTGTGCCTTTTTCTTAACTTTCTTGTTTACTGGACATATTATTGCATTAAGGGTCTTATTTGTTCTAATTATCCTTTTCTTTTTGCAGATTAAGGCACTGAAAAAGGATGTTGTGAAGCTATTTGAAAATTTATATAAATATGGTTAGTGCATGAATTATATTCTAACATGGGAGATATCGTTATTTTTTACACATGCTTCCTGTTTTTATACAATTTTGTAGATGATGGGGCCAATTTCTTTGATGATCAACATCAAGGTCCTGTTTCAGCCACCTTATCAGTTGTTCGTGGGCTAACAACTTTCGCTTCCGCTTCCATAAGTTTTAATATATGACACAATCTTATTATGTTTCTAGACACCACTTGTATTTCCTATGCTCATAATTTTAAATTTTATAATTCTTTTTATTTGATATTTGCAGATACTAGGGGACAGGATATTGGGTTTGGCAACATTCTTTCTTGGGATTGGAATCCCTGGCAATAGCAAGGATTTATATCACCAAATTGATGCTTTAGACTGCTTAGATCAAAACAGGAAAGTGAATAACATTCTCTCTTAAGTCTTAACACATTTATTCTTGAATCTATTGGCATTTTTGTTTTTTATTTTTCGTTTAGGGAATTAGTTCCTCTCATTTTATCACTTTCAGCTAGTGTCCTTTCATTTACCAGCCAAGACAAACTTAAGGTGTGTTGATTCATTTGGTGACCTATTTCATTACATTTCATGTTCCAATTTTCCCATCACAAGGGGGTTCTGGTCCATCTTCAAATTGTTACAATTCTGCTAAGAAGATTGATCACCTTGAGCTTTCTGATATTCATGCAGTCATGAGATATTCTTTTTAAAAGTGTTTAAAGCTGATTCTTGGTGTATGTGAACAGACTTGTGCAGGTGCTATTATGCTTACTGACCTTCTATTTTGGTGCCTATTACTCCCGTTTCAGTCTGGCGATGGCTTCAAGCTTACCCTGGTTAGCATATTTTGTCCCTTGCCCCTTTTCTTTCATTCGGATTTGGGAATACAATACCAACCTCTCACAGTCTTCAAAAGAGATTTAAATCTCCTCCTTTTTCCTTTTGTTTCCTGGAAATAATTATCATTCTCTTTTTATTGTTTGCTAGCTCATAACAAATATATATGTACATTATGATTCATTCGGAACTGTTGCTATTGGCATTCTGAGTCAGAGTTAGTTTGGCTATAAATAAATCTCTGTTGTGATTGCAGTTGATTGGTTGCATGCACTCCCTGAATGCTGTTTTTCTCATCCTGGATTCTGCTATCAACAACCTAGTAAGTGACTGGATCGCATTCACCAATTGGTTATTCACTATATAAATGATCCTAATACGTGTCGAGCTGATGTCGTTATCTCACTGTTTGTCTTTTCTTGTGCCCCTTGTAGCAATTTACTTGGCACGGGTTAACATACTTTTTCTTGTGGAGCTCAGCTTATATAATTTTCCAGTGGGTTATGCATGCCTACTGCTTTACATGGTGATTTCCACTTACCAGAACCCACTTCTTTTGTCATTTATCAATTATTTACTATAAAATTTCCCGGGATTGAAGTTTGAGAGGCTATTGCAGGTGCCCTTATCCCTTCCTAGAAATTGCTACTCCATGGGCTCCCATGTGGTATGTTGCATTACATCCAATGAAATATATATATATATATATATATATATATATATATATATATATATATATATATATATATATATATTTCTGTCGGGGGTAGATATGACTTTTCACATCCTGCAGGTACTTTGGCATCGCTTTTGTTCACCTTCCATGTTACGGACTATATGTTTGGCTTGTGAAAGTGAAAGCATCGATGCTATCAAAAATGTTTCTACAAGCATTTATAGTCCAACGTGTGGTTTTCGTTTACAATCTACCAAGGAGAAAGATCACACAACTCGATGATGCAAAAAGGGTAATCCTGGGAATATCAAGACGGGCAAATTTATGGTTAGGTACAGTATTGATGAATAAAGGTGCCCGAGTGAATACAAAAAGACGGGTCGGACCCGTACCTGGTGTTGATATTGGTAATGTTTTCTTTTTCTGAACGGAGCTCTGTTTAGTGGGATTACATTCTCCAATCATGGTAGGGGTGGTACCAATATACAGATCATTGAGTGAGGGATCAATAGAAATGGTCTGTAGAGAATGACTTAATAGCGGTAAGCCTGGTGGGCAAAAAAACTTGCTTCTTTTACTAAGGTATCATCAACAGTTCAGGCAAGTCAACTTTGTCCTTTTTTGTAAAATTTAATATGATTATATCAATTATTTACGAAATTCAAAAAGAAAAAAGACAAAAAAAAGTATCCAAGTTGTTGACTTTTTTTTATGTAAGCTTAATTTGGTGCTAATGCTATGATTGATGATTGGGAAGAGAATTTGGCTATGAGTACTGCTAAGAAGACCAAAGATGTTGAATTGATTCTTATTCATCTCGGAGATTGTTTATGGAAGGAAACAAGTAATGTAAGTTCCATAATTCCATTAAGTAATAAAAAAATAAAAAATTAAAAAGAATATTCATGTTTGGTTATGAGGTTGTGAATGTGGACAGATGACAAGTAGTTTACATCATTTTTAAGATGATGGACTCGAGTAATTGGTCATCCGGTAAGCCTAATTAGATGTGATCAAGAGATTGACAATATATCACTTACCTATTGTGAATGTGGTGCAACTGCTCTATTATATTATACACTTTGACATCAACAATTCAAAAACTTTAGGTAAATGTCCCATTGGATATTTAACTTTTGGTATAAGCGGTTTGTTTAATTAATAGGGTATCATGTAACATGATGTCAATTTCACCATGATTTGAGGCTTAATTTGATGAATGTAATGATAAATCTGATTTACAGGGGAATTTACATGTTAGTATTGTATATGGAGGTGAAGAAAGTCTGCAACTTACATGGCCTAAAATAGTTTATGAGCATAAATGTCTTGGCTTTGTTGACTCTTTGTTGATTTGTGTATTAATCATGATTTCTCACCGTTCTAGTAAATTGGAGTTTGTGCCATCAACTTGCAAGCTTAATTTTATTTTCATTTTTTTTATTGTTTGCTGCAAGTATCAAACCTTTATAAAAATGGTTAGATCCTAACAGGTCTTTTTCTCCTAAATAGTACAAATGCAAATTTGGAACGCATGACCCTTTATATCATATCAGGTTAATCTATTTTCTCCTAAAATTAAGTTTTTATCAATTGAAACTAATGATTTGCTGTTTAGCTTGTTAATGAAATCTATTTTATTAAATTGAGTTTTGTTTATGTCATGGTCATGACAGATTTGGAACGCATGACCCTTTATACACTTGTCTTCCACTTGCTTATAGCCTTACACCATAAGACAAAGTGTTGGAGTTTAAGTAAGTACAAACTTGTTCTGGAGTGATTTTAGGAGACATTTCTGGAGATTTTGTTGTCACACATACTGAAGATGAGATCCTTCAAGCTTCCATTTTTGCTTTAACTGCATTTTTCAAGTATTTTTTCTATAATTTAATTATAGATAAAGTTACCTTGATTTGATATTTTCATTTTAAATTTGCTACAGAGGAGGGGGTAAAATTGGGAAAAGAATAGTTTAACATAATTACGCCTCTGTTACAGCTATACTTACTCTTCATTTAGTGATTTTCTTTCACTTTTTTTGGTTTATTATATCATTTAATACATACTTATTCAGGTATTATCTTTTTACAAATCCTATCTGGCTCGTGAAAACACAATTACAACTTCAAACTCTCCTCAAAACACTCGCGCATATACTGGCTTAGCCGGTATGCTTCCATTCCTTCTGTTAATAACTAAAAAGATGAAATTACCCTTAGTCCTCCACCTCACCATGTGTTGTTTGATCCAAATGACCTCGTTTATATCATCGTAAGATTCATGAACTTGTACCCTTATGGCTTTATCTAATTCTAATTGTTTTGATGTGGATTAGGCAAGAAACATATACCAGTGTCCATAGGGCTCTGTGATTAGAAGCAAAGCCAAGTGTGGGAAAATACTTAATGAGCAGAATAACCTCTTTGAAAGTTTGCTTCTTTGAATTATGAGGTGCATTTTGTTAACTAATTAAATACAATGACAAGTACTACTGAATTTCCTATAAAATATAAGGTCATGCCCTGAGTTAAACTACTTACAAAAAACGATAAAATGGGTGTAAAAGCTTTAATAAAAAGTACTAGCAAAAATTTGTGCTCTGTCTTACGCTTTTGATTGAAGAAAAAACTGTAAGTATGCTGGTCCTTTTTAATAATATAAGATGTCTTTATATCCGGAAGTAATGGGTTTAAAAAAGGTTTAATCTAGAATCGTAATATTACAACATTTATTAGGTAATCATTTTGAAAAACACATCCACACTCCTGCTTAAGAAGACAACATGTATTAAAATTTTGTTGATGACTAATAAAATTTCTTCATTTTCCTCAGATGCACACCTGCTACTTGTTGACTTACCAGAGCTAAAATCTTTGACCAACAGGTAGTTACAAAAGTTGCCTTTTGTTATCTATTAATTCTAGTGCATTATTTATTTATTTATTTTTGCTTTCCTTGATCAATAAACTTTTAATGGTTGTTGAAAGTCATTGGTATAGGTATAGGTATAGAAGCATGATTATCTGTCCGGATTATATTTGGTGTTATTTATGTTTATCTTTGTACATAATATAATTTGTTTAATCACTAATAAAATTTAACAGAGGCAAAGTAGTGAATAAATCTTATTTACAAAATGATCCAAAGAATCATTTTAGTGTTGTATTGTATTGCATGTTAAGTTACCGATTTGCCATGTGCAGGTTCTGACAGCTCTAGCAACCTACTTCCATGTTGTACAACCTCTCAAAGTTCCTGCATTCAGGTTATTCTTTTAGAAAGGAAATTGTCAAAGGAGAATTTAGTCATGGATTTCTTTTAATGCTGTACATGTTTTGTTTTCTATAATAAATATTATGCAATATAGCAATGTGTTACATTTACTTACTATTTGAATGATTATTTGTATTTGACATACTAGTGCAATGAATTATCTTTATTGTTTATGGTATTTTATTTTTTATTATGAGACTTTTAGTGTGTTATTTAATTTGAAAATTAGTAAATCTATCAAAAATATATAATTTTAAAAACATTTAAAATTATGACACACAAAAATGTTTGTCCTCTTCATTTATGACATGGCCTTTCTTGACAGGGGCTCTCTTGATACGCATGGCGTGTCATTAACACACGCGTCGTAAGGTTATGACACACGAATGCGTGTCGTCTTCCTTTATGACAGGGCATTCCTTGATACGCATTGCGTGTCGTAAACGCGCGTCGTAATTGCGCGTCGTCTATAGATGACACGCAAAAGCGCGTCGTCTCTCTTTATGACAGGGCCTTCCTTGACGCGCATTTGCGCATCGTCTGAGCCTTTTACGACGCACAATGAGCGTCGTAAAAGGCTGTTTTTCTAATAGTGACAGATGTAGTGCACAAAAACAACACAAAGATAACCAAGAATGAACCTGTTGATTTTAAAAGAATAGCCAGTACAATCTCTTCAAAACCACATTGCTCTACAAATACCGTGGGATTGGCTTCAAAATCTGGGTTAACACGCACAAAATTTGGGAGAAAATCAAAAGTTCATAAAATTGATGATCAAGCATCCAAATTACATCAAAAACAGTTAAATAAGTAGCAGAAATTAAAATGAAACCCTGAAAGTCCATGGGCCAAACACAAACCCAAAAACAAAACCCAAAAATTCAGGAAAAATAACAAAATTGTTCATAACTCCATTTGGAAAGCGATTTTTGGACTCAAAAAAGGGTAAGTCCCCATTGGGGACTTATCTAGACGTGTTACTTGCTCCAAGCTTTGATTTGACTGGTCGTAGGCCCAAAACGGAGATTCATAGCTAAAGTTATGGTTATTTCCGAGAAGCCCCTTTAGTTACGATCATGGGTCCCTAGGAACGCAAGGGCCCAATACTCCACGCTAGGGCCTGTGTCATATGTGGTAAATGAATTGAAACTAAGAACACACCACTAGACTATGGACTATCATTAGGTCCAATGATTTTTCTTTCCAACGAGACATGCCTTCTACAACTAGACATATAGTCGTAAAGATATTGAAAACTTCTTAAAATAATATACATACATACATACATACATACACACACACACACACACACATATATATATATATATATATATATATATATATATATATATATATATATATATATATATATATAGTAGTAAAAATAAAATATCAAAACCAAACCTTGGATATTGTTTGTGCAAGAGTCTTAAATGCAACTTGCAAATCAAACTTTACAAACATTATTCCTTTTAATGCCATAACAAAAAATACCTAAAATTTCATTTCTGCTTTATATCATATGTTCGTTGTTCAATAAAAAATAGAAGAAACAAACCTACCTTAGGAGGTTTGAAGGGTAGTCTGGTGGTAAATGAATTGAAACTAAGAACACACCACTAAAGTATGGATTGTCATTTGGTCCCATGATTTTTCTTGCCAATGAGACATGTCTTCTACAACTAGACATATTATCATAAAGATATTGAAAACTTCTTAAAATTATATATATATATATATATATATATATATATATATATATATATATATATATAGTAATAAAAATAGAATATCAAAACCAAACCTTAGAGATTGTTAGTGCAAGACTCTTAAATGCAATCTGCAAATCAATGTCTACAATCAATAGTCCTTTTAATGCCATAACAAAAAAAAAACTAAAATCTCATTTTCGCTTTATATCATGTGTTCGATGTTTGATAAAAAATAGAAAAAACAACCAACCTTAGGAGGCTTGAAGGGTAGACAGGTGGTAAATGAATTGAAACTAAGAACACACCACTAGAGTATGGACTGTCATTAGGTCCCATGATTTTTCTTGCCAATGAGACATGTCTTCTACAACTGGACCTATAATCATAAAGATATTTACACCAAATTATACAGATATTAAGATTGAAGATCTTTTTT